TATCTCCCCCCAATGCTTCAATTATATAAAAATTAATATCACATATTATTAACAAATTTTCGCTTAAATAAAATCACAGGCGAAGTATCCTCGTCTATTATAATAACATTATCTATATATATAACGTAAATTTTTAAATTTTATTTCATAAATTAAAATCAATAATTTACACGTTTATAATAATTAATGAAGACGAAGATATTCTCGTGTCAGAAATATAATAAAATTTTCGTATTATAAGATAGCCAAATCAGTAAATTGCTATTCTATTAAAACGAAAAACTTCGAAAAATTGAAAACAAACAATCATTCTGTTGAAACTTTTATACTTCTTCTGTGAAAAGTCTTAAAAGCAAGTGATGTCGTGATAAAAGGAAGGGGTTAAACTTTATGCGACTATCATTTGTTGCGCATGCGCCTTCGTGAATATATGATCACCGAACGATCGCTAGTCATCAATCGGTGATCTGTCATTCCATCATTCTAGTTTATTATTTAACTGTTTGTCTCATTTAATCTAGAAAACGGCCAGTCATTTTGTTTTAAATTATCCCGCTTTAGTATCCATTGTTCAAATTCCTGTAAAGTGGTCAATAGTAACGAGAAACGCAATAACACTATAGCAAAGGCAGCGTGAATATCTGTTCGAAGACTGCGGATCTTGCCATGACGACAGAAGAACAATTTCACGCGGCTGTTAATGTGATCAGGAATCTTCCAAAAAATGGTAAATTTTATTTAAACGATTAAATAAATTGTACTAATTTTCTATTTTCCATTATGAAAAGATTTTCCGAGTAATTCAATTGCTACGTTGTGTCTACACATTATGATATTCAATACATAATACCTTTTCATGAAATTGACACGACGTGTATGCTGATTTTTTCTCTTCCTTTTTTCTTTCAATTTTTTATTCATACGGGACTCGTCTAACAAGTTTTTTTTTAAATTAGTAATATGGAAACAGTGGACATTTGCAGTGCATTTATCTTATGTATCACATTACTGGCAAAATAATGGTACAAAGTTCATGTCTGACATGGTAGAATATTTATCTCAATTTTTAATTTAAACATGATAAGTATAATGTTTTTGATTGACATTTCGTATTCTTTGTTTTCAGTGCAGCCAGGTTAAATGATATCTCTGTGTATATCTTAAATTTCACATTTTTCAAAGTGTATTTTTATGATTATTGCACTTGATGGATTTAATGAAAAAGAAATTTAATATAAATTAAATGCAAAGGAAGAATATATGATAATAAGCATTTTCTTATTTCTGTATAATATATTTTGTTACTTACCAAAATATAATTGAATTTATATAATAAGCTTTCAGATACATTAATTGTTTAAGATCATTAAAAAAATGTTATTTTCTATTTTGTATATAGTATGCTAACCTATGAAAAACCTTTTTGAATTGTACAAACGAAAATTATGTTTTAATATTCTATTAGAGACATACTTTTAATGTTATTAAGCTGACAAATGTGTGTATATACTTTCCATTTATTATAAGTCAATGTGTAAGTGTTCTCATTTCACTTTCTAGTAGAGTAGGAATGGGTAAACTGCAGTTTGTGTTTAAAACTAGAGCGTTCCTCTTCAGTGACCACAAATATATCTATGATTTTTTAAGACTGTATCATCAATTTTTCTGAATTGCTAATGACATGTATTTTTATATATCTTGTTAGAAATAAATTATAAATTTTTATCTTTGCAATTTTAAAATTCAAATTTTTGTTTTCGCCAATTTTAATTTTATCTTTTTATTTTTTTCCTAAAGATCATATAATGAGTATTTTATTAAAACATTGACCTTATAATTAATTCAAGCAATAAAATATATCTATAACTCTACACATTAAATATAAGAAATACAAATATTATAGTTTGAAAATGTAACAATAAATATATTTTCGATGTTGCCTTATGTTTCAGGAGCATATCAACCTAGCAATGAAATTATGTTACGTTTTTATGCATATTACAAACAGGCAATAGAAGGACCATGTCAACAACCAAAGCCCCCTTTCTGGGAAGTTTTCAAAAGAGCAAAGTGGGATGCTTGGTCACGTTTGGGTAACATGAGTAGAACAGAAGCTATGAATAACTATGTTGAAGAATTAAAGAAGGTTCATTTTAAAAATGAATGTAATTTCATTAATTAATAGTATTTAAAAGTTGTTTAACATTTATTTGTAATTCAATAGATTGTGGAAACAATGTCTTATACAGATAATGTGGCTACTTTTCTGCACAGTTTAGACACATTTTGTGAAAGTGTTCCAGCTGAAGATTTAGAATTACTTCTTGGTCCTGTATTAGAACGTATGCGTTCACAACCTGGCTTACCATTATCTGGTTCTCCCCTGGGTTTGTATTTGTAAATAACATATACAAATATATCTTTCTTATTTAGTCAATTATCTAATGTTTTGTCAATTATTATTAATACATATAGCATCAAGAGAAACATCACCACATAGAGTTTGCAATATGACTCGACATATTGCAAGTAGTTTAGAAACTAGCCCTGCTGCTAGTCATAGTGCAAGTCCACCAGACACTGATGGTGAAGAAGAATTTATAGATACCGTCGAAGTAAGTTACCGGTATTATAGACAATCTACAACATTAGACAGATTTTTATTTTCCTTTTGTGTAATTAAAACTGCTTTTTTATTCATAGTCTGCTCCAGAACGGACACAGAAGGATACAACAAAAGCTTCTATTTCTACCCAGAAAATGTCTAATGGGTTAAATATTACTGCAGATAAAGCTATTGAGTCAACAACTCAAATGGAGAACCCTTCAGAGTTAATTAATGGATATACTACTGCAAATGGCTATTCAGAACCAATAGTAGAAAATAAACAAGAAAAAAACATACAACGACTTAAAAAGGATGAAAAATCTGATGCTGAATTTTTTAATCAAATAGCCACAACTATGCAAGATCTGCAAAGAGATTTAGATAGAATAACGGCTACAGTACGTAGTTTAGAAGGTCAAACGTTACAGGCATCGGCGCCACAAATAGTAAGTGTAGGCAAATAAAATTAAAGTTTTATTTAATTTTCTATTTCATATGCTATGTTATGATATTCGTTTGTTAAATCGTAAATTATTTTTGTAGAAACAGCCTACAACAACCTTATACCCAAAATGGTGGCCTTTTTCAGAGTGTTCGCCGCAATTATTTACTATCTTAATCGTATGGCCGTTCGTAGCACAATTTTTAATTTCTTTAACACAACGTTATCGTCAGCAGAAGCTGTGATTTAAACATTACCACTCCTTTATTCAAGATATATTCCACTAGTTACTATTAAATAACGTTGAATACAAGTAATATAGAAATTTTTTAAAAGTTACGATTGAAGTAAATTACTACGATCTAAATGCTTATTTGACTAAAAGAATAAAATGAATCGTGTTTCGTATAACTAACGATTCTAGAAAAAATAAATTTCAAAATCTGTTCTATGAATTGTATCCATATAAATGTATGTACAGTAACTGTACAGAAAGATTTATTTATTTTAAGCAAGAGAGAATCAAGGAAGGTTTGATTAGTCTCTGTATGTTGATATATTAAAAATCAGTGAATTAATCTAATACCTAAGGTAACTTATATGTATTATAAATAGTTGTATGTATTCATATATTGTAATATAGAAACAAAGATTATATACAATTGTTATATTGTACATTCAGGTTAAAGGCCAAAAATAGAATCTATCACAACCTGGAATTTTTCTAAAAACAATAAGAATTTACTTAAGACGGTATTATCATCGTTCTCAATATTTTTCACCTTTTTCATATAATTTTAAGTTGCAAATAAGTAAATATATCACAAATTTATGTACAAATATTGTATAAAAGTGTGCAATTTATAACTCTATTTGTAATACTAATTATTATTTGTAATTATTTTTCACAAATCTTTTATTGACTAGTGTAGCTGTGTATTATGATAACAATAATTCTCTTTTTATAAGTTAATATTTTTCACTTTGTACAATTTCAATAAAATACTTTGCAACACTGTTACCCGCATATTTCTATGCACTGAACTTTGTTTTATTATTATATTGACATAATTTCACAGATTATATTCTTTAAACGAACTTTGCTTTTGAGATAAAAAGCATTTTCATGCAAGTATTAATTTGATATGATTATATGAATTCGTAAAATGTTTGGAACAATTACGCGATTGATATTCTTAATTATTTGTAATTAATTACTTTCAATTACATATCTTTACTACAAAATGTTCCGCGATAATTCGTTGATTATAAATTAAGTGAAATCTACAAATATTTACATATAATGAAACTCTTATCGTTTAAATTCCATTCTCGCAATTTATTAAAAATCGAGAGTTCAAAGGAAAGTAAATATCTTAATGTGTAAGATAAAACATATTTCTAAAACTGATCCGAAAGATGAGTACCACTGTACAATAACATTATTCCATAAGAATTAAGAATGGTTGGGAACCAATATTGGCAGCAACGAAGTGTCAAGACAAATTTCGTAACATTATGGTTTTTTCGATCTGCTTAATTCGTATTTTCCATGTTTTGTATGTGTAATATAACACCTGACAAAACATACGAGCGATATATGTCAGATGTTAGAGCGCTATCAGTATTCCACGGGTTGCAGTAATCAGTAGCTCAATGCCTTATTCAATTTCTACCTGAAGCCTCTTATTAGAGGTCTAAAAGTGTAAATCATACAATGGGAAATATGAGTATAAATCTCGTAGTCATTATTTTAGTCTTTTGTATTATAAATCTGTCGTATGCTCAGGATACAGATTTGGGAGTGATCGTTTTTGCGAATGTTGTAAGTTCAAAATTTATTTTTTTAAATACAAATACTTTATATTCTAATTATTCTTATTACGAAAATTCGCTTATTTTTTACTTTCTTCACAAAGAAGTACATAAAAGGTAGTATAAATAAAAAGAAGTAATTTATTTGACAGTTGTATAGACATGGAGATAGAACTCCTACAAGATTTTATGCAAATGATCCCTATGATAATGAAAACCTGTGGCCTGTTCCATATGGTCAATTGACAAACGTATGTAATTGTTAACTATTATATGCATGTTTTAACATTTGAAACTTTAATTTCTCTTTATATTTTACAATTTTTAAAACTTCTGGAACATTCAAATTTTTACTACTATGTTTATTACACTATATATAGCTTGGAAAAGAACAGCATTTACTACTTGGCCGTTGGATTCGAAAACGTTATTCACACCTACTAAGTGACCTGTATTTTCCATATGAAATTTATATCCAAAGTACAAATCTAGATCGTACTTTAATGTCAGCAGAAGCACATCTTGCTGGCTTATATCCACCAGTTGGTAATCAAATTTGGTGGGACACTCTGAAATGGATCCCTATTCCAGTACATACAATTCCTGAGGAGCTAGATTATGTTTTACTAGCTAAAAAGTATTGTCCTAGATATGATTATGAGTTGGAACAAGTTCTTAACTCTCCAGAAATAAAAAAGATAGATAAAGAAAATGAGAAATTATATGCATATCTAACAAACAATGCAGGAAATAAAATTTCATCCCTAAGATCTGTACAACAACTTTATGATACATTATTTATTGAAGTAAGCAATTATTGTATTCTTTATTCTTCATATGTTATTCTTTACATCTCATAAACAATTCTATACATTACAGAATCTTTATAATAAAACTTTGCCAAAATGGACAAAGTCAGTATTTCCAGAAAAACTTAAACCTATTGCTGCAAAAAGTTTTACAATTAATGCTCACAACAAAATACTTCAAAGACTAAAATCAGGTAAGTGATATTCGTTTCAATGTGCATAAATAATTTAAGCTTTGTAATTATATAATGTTATAATAGGATCATTACTTGGAGAAATGATAGATCATATGGAAAAAAAGTCAAAAAATGCCCTAATGCCAAATAGGAAAATATGGATGTATAGTGCTCATGATGATACTCTAGCTAATATGTTAATGACTTTAAATGTTTTTGAACCACATTGTCCACCATATATTGCTGTGATTCTAATAGAGTTAAGAGTAAATTTAAAAAATCAGTATTTTGTAACGGTAAGTGCTTAAAGTAAATGAAAAATAAAGTAATAACACAAGCTAATGAAATGTATTTGTACAGGTTTCTTATAAAAATACTAGTGATGAACCACAGCTCTTAACACTTCCTGGCTGTATTGCACTATGCCCTTTGAATCAATTTATTACACTGACAAAAGATGTTATACCTGTAAATTGGGAAAAAGAATGTGCAGTGGATTGGGAACAATTTGGATATAATATGAATACAACAGCAGTTATTGGTAAATTCTTATTATAATCGAGTTAATTTGTTTAATAAGCCAAAGTGATAAAAATTAGTTTTTTACTTAATATATCTTTTGTTTCAGCAATACTGACATCCTCCATACTAATGTTAGTTTTATTAGTTTTATCTATCATTGGTTTTATTTATTGGCATTATAAACGAGAACATAATCAGTATTATCTGCGACTAACAACAGATCCTATATAATTGGATATATATTGGAAAAAAACAATATATTGCTTTCATTGTAACAATCAATGTCTTCGTAATTAGGTAATTAGCAAAACTAAGATAAATTATAAATTTGTATTTGATTTTACACAAATTAAGGAGTAAATTACTGATATGAAAATGTTCTGATACGTTTCACATGAAATGTTCGAAAAATTTTTATATATTTTATGACATTTGTACTTTTTTATTGGTGATAAAATATTTCAGTTTATAATTAACTAAACGGATAAGTAGATTTAATGCAGACTTAATTGTTTGCAAATTTTAATCAATAAGAGAAAAGAGAATAGCCGATAATATTCGTGTACATTTGTAAACAAGGCTGTTGTAATGATCTTTTATAATGATTTTTAATAACTCGATAAATGATAGTACATTCTTAATGATTTTTGTGATTGCAAAGTGTTATATTATTGTTTAGCATTTTAAAATTGGAAAATTTATAAATATTGAAAAATATATGAATTACATTTGTCTGCGATATTTTATAGAATATCTAGTCATACTGCATCATGTTACCATAATTGAAAATACCTATTGCTCTTAAATAGGAAAGATATATTTAGCCACTTCGTTGTTACCTGTTTGTAATGTCGTTTATAAGTGGGTATGTTTATGAATAATTTTGTCTAAATAAGAAATACAAGGTAAGTAAGATTTAAAAGAAGAAAGACAATACTAAGAGCGGAAAAGAAAGTTACGTTTTACCCGATACACTAGTCAAAAAACATTTTTCTTTAAACTGAACTATTTTACCGCTATATTTTGTCGCTCGATATTCAAATAAGTGTACAAATATATAAATTGTATCCTATTCAAAATATTTTTGTGACATTTGAAAGCGAATAAAAAAAGTATTACAAAAAAAACGATTTATTAATTTTGCTTTTTAATGAATATCTTTCTTCAGATGATGTTTTAATCACAACAAAAAAATATAAAAGTACCTGTACATAGTTTATGACACCTATCCTCTGCAGTGATCACTGGTAGACTGACTTTCGAATCTGTGCTATATACATTTTAAGCATTATCTACAGAGTCACACATAAATGTAAACAAGTGCCAGTTTACAGTTTTCAAATATATAGTAATACAAACAATATACATATAGTATTAACATTGTTATATACTACACATATTCCATAGATTGCATATTTTATGCACATGAAGTATTTCTAATTAACAATTTTTTTTGACATAGTTCCCACACCTTAACCATGATTTCAATTACTTAAATTTCCTTAATATAAGTAATTCTGGTATACTTTATACAGTTCTTTTTAAAGATTTTAAATTACTTTATTTTTTACAATTAAATATGTACAAATATAATTGTCTCGTACCTTTCATCATTAACATAATTCATCGATGTACAATAACATAACGATGTGCGATAACAAAAGTTTAAGATAAAATGAAATTTAAGTACACGATTTTTATTACACAGTAATTTTAAATCACCTAATTTTTAATCTTGTACAATCTTCAAATCTATTAAAATGTCAATTATGAGTATTATATGTTATTTACCGTATTTTATTCGTGTCAATAATTCATCAATATTCTGGTATTGTAGTAAAGCTCCCTGACCAATTTTCTTGGATACTAAATGCCGGATTCGACCTGAAATGTTAAACAAATTAGTTTCATATGTGGTAAACAGAATTTTATTTTAACAAAAGCCTTGTAATAATACGCCTTAAATTTATTCGCTCTCCGCTTGTCTTTCATTTCTCTCAATTCAACCCCTTTTTTACGCCTACCCCTCTAACTCTAGTATCACACATTATTTATGCATACTCTAACACATACATATATCTGATCAATAAAAATATCATACCTGAAGAGGCACAATAATTATTAAAAATGATTCTAAATTGCAATAAAGCTTTAAAATATTTTATTATTGTTGCATCTAAGATATTACACAAATAAAATTATGATATAAATAATTGCGAGAAAAACTCTTACCTTTTATTAGAAAATTTTGAAAATCGAGTTAACGTTGAAAGCCCACTCTTGCATCGGTTAAAAATGAACATGCAATCGAAATATTTTTAGTTAAATGATCACAAAAATTATTACAATGATAAACAGAAAGCAATTGACAAATAAAAAAACAATGAATAAAAAAAAAATGTTTATGATAAGGTTAATATTTTGATCTTTGTTTAATTACTTCTCTGGCTCATTTTTAT